TGGGGGGCGCCAGAACGGCCCCCCCAACAAAAACAACAACAACAACAACGCTCCCGCTCGAAACTTCCTCCTTCTTCCAATCAGGGCCGGTGCTTTTGCTCGCCGCCGAAAGCTGCCGTCCCAACAGAACCAGCGGTACCGCTAGAGACTTCCTCACGTTGTACCTTGGACAGGCGCGCTACTCTTCTCTTATCGGCGCCGCCCCCAGCAACAAAAACGCTCCCGCTCGAGACTTCCTCCCTTTTTAACTCGAGGCGGTGCTCCTCCTCGCCGCCGATCACCGCCGTCCCGACAAAACCAGCTCTCCCGCCCGAGACTTCCGTTTTACGCTGGACTGGCGCCCTACTTTCTTTTTGAATTGGCGCCGCTTCCAACACAAACAGCGTTCCCGCTCAAGATTCCCTCTTTCTTTCCTCACGACGGCGCTCTTGCTCGCAGCCGAAAGCTACCGTCCCAACAAAATCAGCGCCACCGCTCGAGACTTCCTCCCGTTTTACCTTGAACTGGCGCGCTACTACTTTTTTCATCGGCGCCGCCCCCAGCAACAACCACGCTCCCGCTCGAGACTTCCTCCCTTTTCTACTCAAGGCGGTGCTCCTCCTCGCCGCCGACAGCCGCCGCCCCGAAAGCGTTCCCGCCCGAGACTTCCTCCCGTTTTACGCTGGACTGGTTTCCTATTCTCTTTTGAATTGGCGCCTCCCCCAGCAAGAACAACGCTCCCGTTCGAGGCTTCCTTTTTTTTTCCTCCGGACAAATGCTTTTCTTCGCCGCCGATTGCCCCCGTCCCGACAATACCACGGTTCAAGCTCGGGACTTCCCCCCTTCTTACTCAAGGCGGTGTTCCTCCTCACCGCCGACAACCGCCGTCCCAACTGAACCAACACTCGTGCTCGAGACTTTTGTTTTACGCTGGGCTACCGCCCTACTCTCTTCAGCATTTGCGACGCTCCCAACAACAACAGCGGCCCTGCTCGAGACTTCCTCCTTTTCTATTCAGGGCCGGGTCCTTGCCTCGCCGCCGACAGCCCCGATCTCCACCAAGGCAATCCTGTCGTTCGATATTTCATTGTGTTTTACCCTTGGCTGGGGCTCCTCTGGCGGTTTCGCATCGGCGCAGCAAGGCGCGGGCATGCGTTTTCGAGGAGGGACACGTTGAAATCATTCGGGGGAAATGTTTGCAAGACGTCATTGGGCTGAAGATCCCGGCGTGGGAATAACGGGCCCCGCTATAAAGCAATAGTCCCCCATGATGAGGATGGTTATCATGGTGGTCGCATGCTTCGTGTAGAAACATCGCGCCTGAAGGTAAACTGATTGTTGTTGAACTCCCACTTCAGAAACAAACATTGTTGATCCCCCATCGTCGGTGCATGCTGTTTTTCTCAATCAAACTGTGCCCCTCGACGCTCGCACCGTGTTTTTTTTGTCAGGGAAAGTCTTCCTGCTCAAAGTGTGCCCCTGGCCCCCCCGATTACAACAACAACGGCTCCCGCCTGAGACTACCTTCGAATTTACTGAGGACCCCCGCTCCTGAGACTTCCTCACAATTTACTCAGGATCGGTGCTGCCGCTTGTGACTTCCTCGCAATTTAGTCAGGACCCCCGCTCCCATCTGAGACTTCCTCACCATTTACCCAGGAACGGCGCTCCCGCTTGAGAGTTCCTCGCAATTGAATCCAGACTGCTTCGCAATTTAATCAAAGACCCCCCGCTCCCGCCAGAGAACCCTTCACATTCTATTCAGGAATTGTGCTCTCGCTTGTGACTTATATTGGTTGATTAAGAAATCGCGCTTTCGACGTTCAGGAAACACGCCGCGCCAAAAACGCCGTTACAATTTACTGAATAGCCGCGCTCTCGCCATACTCAGGCATCCGACTTGAATGTCCCACCCGCCCGACCCGCTCGTCAGGGGATCGCCCGCCCGTCGTGGGCTTCCGCCCGAGACTTCCTTCAGGAACGGCGCTTTCGCCGAGGACTTCCTCGAACGTTCACGTTCTTACCTTCCTGTTCCTCCTCCCTCTCCCTCATACCTCCTCCCTCCACATCCTCCCCTCTTTCCCCCTCCTCTCTTCCGTCATCCTTATGCCTCTCTGCCCTATCCCCTCTCCCTCTTCTCCCTCCTCCCTTCTCCCTCCCCTCTCCTGCCTCCTCCATCCCTCTGTTGTTTCTCTTTCTCCCCTCCCTCTCTCACTCATTATCCCTTCCTTTCTCCGTGTTTGTCTCTACCTCTCTTCTATGTTTTTGTTGTTTATTTGTCCTATCTCTCTCTCTCTTTCTCTCTCTCCCTGGCTCTCTCTCTCTCTCTCTCTCTCTCTCTCTCTCTCTCTCTCTCTTTATATATATATATATATATATATATATGTATCTCACCCTCTCTTTTTTTCTCTCTCTCTCTCTCTCTTTCTCTCTCTCTCTCTGCCTCTAATCAGTCGCCCCCTCTTCGCTCCATCTCTCCTGGCGTTTCCCCTCTTCCTGAGTTCCTCCCCCTCTTTCCCTCCCGCTCTCCCTCGTTCTCACCTTCCTCATTTTGCAGGGCCCACACCAACTCCAGTGGCGGGCACATGTACGCCCACGAAAGATTGTCCGCCCGCTCAGGCTTGCCCGCCTAACTAAGCCCGCCGCCCCCCGCAAAGAGAAATAATCCCCCTCAAGGGGGCGTGATCGAAGATAAAAGGAGCGGGAACCGAGGGTCTGGGAAACTCGTTGTGAATGACACGCGGGCAAGTAAGAGCGAACTGTCTTAGAATGATTGTTGTTGTTGTTGTTAAATGGTTGCTTGTGAACTCCCATCCTGAATAATAGTTATTGCTGATCCCCCCACGCCGGTGCAAACTGTTTTTCTCAATCAAAAGGTGCCCCTCGACGCTCGCACCCTGTTTTTTTGACAAAGAAAATCTTCCTGCTCAAACTGTGCCCTCGGCCCCCCGGATTACAACAACAACGGCTCCCGCCCGAGACTTCCTGCGGATTTTCTCAGGACCCCCGCCCCCGCCTGAGACTTCCTCACAATGTACTCAGGATCGGTGTTGCCGCTTGTGACTTCCTCCAAATTTACTCAGGAACGACGCGTTTGAGACTTCCTCGCAATTGAATCCAGACACCCTCGCAATTTAATCAAGACCCCCACTCCCGCCAAAGAACCCATCACATTTTATGCAGGAGCTGCGCTCTCGCCTGTCGCCTGTGACTTCCATGGATCTATTCAGAAATCGCGCTTTCGACGCTCAAGAAACACGTTGCGGCAAAAACGCCGTTACAAATTACTTAGTAAGCGCGCTCTCGCCATACTCGGGCATCCCGCTTGAATGTCCCACCCGCCCGACCCGTCCGTCAAGGGATCGCCCGCCCGTCGTGGGCTTCCGCCCGAGACTTCCTTCAGGAACGGCGCTTTCGCCTAGGACTTCCTCGAACGTTCACGCTCTTACCTCCCTCCTCCCTCCTCCCTCTCCCTCCTCCCTCCTCTGTTCCCTTTTCTCTCCCTCCTCTCTTCCGTCATCCTTATGCCTCTCTGCTCTATCCCCTCTCCCTCCTCTCCTTCCTCCCTTCTCCCTCCCTTCTCCTGCCTGCTCCCTCCCTCTGTTTGTTTTTCTCTCTCTCTCTCTCTCGTTCTCCCCTCTCTCTCGTCCTCTACCTCTCTTATGTGTGTTTTGCTCTCTCTCTCTCTCTCTCTCTCTCCCTCTCTCTCTCTGCCTCTAATCAGTCGCCCCCCCCCCCCCCCCCTTCGCTCCATCTCTCCTGGCGTTTCCCCTCTTCCTGAGTCCCTCCCCCTCTGTCCCTCCCGCTCTCCCTCGTTCTCTCCCTCCTCATTTTGCAGGGCCCACACCAATTCCAATGGCGGGCACATGTACGCCCACGAAAGATTGTCCGCCCGCTCAGGTTTGCCCGCCTGTCTAAGCACGCCGCCCCCCGCAAAGAGAAATAATCCCCCCTAAAGGGGGTGTGATCGAAGACAAAAAGGGCGGGTATCGAGGGTCTGGGAAACTCGTTGTGAATGACGCACGGGCAACTAAGAGCGAACAATTTAATAATGATTGTGGCTGTTGCTATTGTTGTCGCTTTGTTGCTTTGTTGTCGTCGTCCCACCCGCGACCCACCCCGCGACCCACCCCGCGGCCCACCCCGCGGCCCACCCCGCGACCCACCCCGCGACCCACCCGCGCCCCCCCCCGCGACCCCCCCCCGCGACCCACCCACAATTCAATAGTTTCACGAAAAAGTCGGCGCCTACGGCGGGCTCGTTGTATAAGTTGTGAAACTTCGGCGCGGCGGGCTTCTCCAGAGACTCGCAAACTGCCGACGTCCCCACCGCCCCTCCACTCTGATCCGCATCTGCGGGGTGCGATGGTATATACATGTATTTCTCCGCGGCACCCGCCGCACAACCACGACGAGGAGGAGGAGGGAGAGGAGGAGGAGGAGGAGGAGGAGGAGGAGGAGGAGGAGGAGGAGGATAATCAAGAAAGTACAACAGGAGGAAAAGGAGGAGGAGGAGCAGCAGCAGCAGCAGGAGGAAGTGTGGAGTTGGAACAGGGCGGGCGCAGGCAAAACTGAAGACCTCCTGGGGTTAGGGGGTTCGCTACAGAAGAACCCCTCGCTACAGCTCGGACGTCCATTCCCCGTGCATGTTTCGACTCCGTGCGCGCGTTGTTCTTCGCTCTCGATCTCGATGATCCAGGACCCTCCTCGATAATGCTCGCCGACATGCCCGAGCGATGCCAAGACCCATGTCTTGCCAGGTTTCGTTCGCGGGCCTTTCCAAGCGGACCTGGAGGTCGGGGCTGGTGCAGCGGATGACCCTCTGAAGTAGGGGAAACCCTGCCCGTGGCGCTCCGCCTGCTGCACTGGCGCCCCGTGCAGCCCCCCCCCGGGTCCGACCCCGTTCCCCCCGCCCCGTTCCCCCCGCCCCCGCGAGGCTGCGCCGCCCACGCGCGGGCGGCCGCCCGGCTCCCGCGCGGGGCGCGCGCGGTCGGGGGGGGGGCCGCCGGGGCCATGCGGGC